AACGAGGAACCAACGGAACCCAACGAGAACTCAACAAAACCCAATGAGAACCCAACGAAATTCAGCAAGAACCAAACAAAACCCAACGAGGAACCAACAAAACTCAACGAGGACCCAACGAAACTCAATGAGAGCTCAATGGAACCCAATGAGAACCCATTAAAACCCAACAAGAACTCAACACAACTCAAAGAGAACCCAATGGAACCCAATGAGAACCCAACAGAACCCAAGAAGAACTCAACGAAACCCAATGACAACCCAACAAAACTCAACGACGACTCAACAAAACCCAACAAGAACCCAACGAAACCCAACAAGAACCCAACGAAACCCAACGAGAACCCAACGAAACTCAACGACAAGTCGACAAAACTCAACAAGAACTCAACGAAACTCAACGACAACTCAAGAAAACCCAACAAGAACCCAACGCAACCCACCAACCCCGCCAGGAGCCCCAGCGTGGCCACCCCCTGGCCCACGGTGCCGCGGCTGAAGCCGCTGCGCCACGCGTCGCAGAAGGAGATCGTGCTCTACGCCCACTTCCTGGGGCTGCCCTACGCCAGCGCCGAGTGCCGCCACGCGCCGCTGGCGTTCCGCGGGCACCCGCGGGCGCTGCTGAAGGAGCTCGAGGCGGCGCGGCCGGCGGCGGTGGCGGCGCTGGCGCACTCGGGGCGGCGCCTGGCGCTGGGGGCGGCGCCGGGCGCGGGGGCGGCGCCGGGGGCGTGCGGGCGCTGCGGCGCCGCGGCCAGCGGGGAGCTGTGCATGGCCTGCGTCCTCCTGGCCGCGCTCGACAGGGGGAGGCCCAAGCTGGCGCTGGGCAAGAGAGGGGTCAGGGTGGCCAGAGATGGTGGGGACGGGGGTGGTGGTGGTCATTGGGGTCATCAGGATGGACCTGGGGGGCTGTGGGGTGGTGGGCAGGGGGGTGGTGGTCATTGGGATGGGGTTGGTGGTCATTGGGGTGGATGTGGGCAAGGGAGTTGTGGCTGTAGGGGTGGTGGTCAAGGGGTCAGTGGTCAGCAGGATGGGGTTGGTGGTCATTGGGATGGGGTTGGTGGCCACCAGGATGGGGTTGGTGGTCATTGGGAGGGTGGTCAAGGGGTCAGTGGCCACCAGGATGGGGTTGGTGGTCACTGGGGTGGGGTTGGTGGTCATTGGGGTGGATGTGGGCAAGGGGGTTGTGGCTGCAGGGGTGGTGGTCAAGGGCTCAGTGGTCATTGGGAGGGTGGTCAAGGGGTCAGTGGCCACCAGGATGGAGGTGGTGGTCATTGGGATGGGGCTGGTGGGCACCAGGATGGGGTTGGTGGTCAGCAGGATGGGGTTGGTGGTCATCAGGATGGGGCTGGTGGTCACCAGGATGGGGTTGGTGGTCATTGGGGTGGGGTTGGTGGTCGCTGGGATGGATGTGGTGGACAAGGGAGTTGTGGCTGTAGGGGTGGTGGTCAAGGGATTGGTGGCCACCAAGATTGTGGTCAAGGGGTCAGTGGTCACCAGGATGGGGTTGGTGGTCATTGGGATGGGGTTGGTGGTCATTGGGGTGGATGTGGGCAAGGGGGTTGTGGCTGCAGGGGTGGTGGTCAAGGGGTCAGTGGTCACCAGGATGGAGTTGGTGGTCACCAGGATGGGGTTGGTGGTCACCAGGATGGAGGTGGTGGTCATTGGGAGGGTGATGGTCAAAGGGGTGGTGGTCACTGGGGTGGTGGTCAAGGGGGTTGTGGGTGTAGGGGTGGTGGTCAAGGGGTCAGTGGCCACCAGGATGGGGTTGGTGGTCACCAGGATGGAGTTGGTGGTCACTGGGAGGGTGATGGTCAGTGGGGTAGTGGTCAAGGGGTCAGTGGCCACCAGGATGGGGTTGGTGGTCACCAGGATGGACGTGGTGGTCACTGGGGTGGTGTTCAAAGGGGTTGTGGCTGTAGGGGTGGTGGTCAAGGGGTCAGTGGTCACTTCAGGGCTGGTGAGGGGGAGTGTGGTGGCCACGGTGACCACCAGGCTCAGGGCTTTGGTGGCCACAGTGACCACCAGGGTTCTGGTGGCCCTGCTGTCCCTGTTGGTGACCCTGGTGTCCCCAGTGTCCATCCAGTGTCCACCCCAGTGGCCGTCGAGCTGCAGGGCCCTGCTGTCCCTGTTAGTGACCCTGGTGTCCCTCAGAGGTTTGGTGGCCCTGGTGTCCCTCAAGGTTCTGGTGACCCTGGTGTCCATGGTGTCCATGGTCGTGTCCATGGTGGTGGCCCTGGTGTCCATGGTGTCCATGGTGGTGGCCCTGGTGGCCCTGGTGTCCATGGTGGTGGCCATGGTGTCCCCAGTGTCCCCGTTGGTGTCCCCAGTGCCCGGCCGGTGGCCGCCCCGGTGGCCGTGGAGCTGCAGGGCCCTGGTGGCCATGGGGGTGTCCATGGTGGCCCTGGTGTCCATGGTGGTGGCCCTGGTGCCCGGCCGGTGGCCGCCCCGGTGGCCGTGGAGCTGCAGGGCCCTGGTGTCCATGGTGGTGTCCATGGTGTCCATGGTGGTGACCCCAGTGTCCCTCAGAGGTTTGGTGGCCCTGGTGTCCCCAGTGTCCGGGCGGTGGCCGCCCCGGTGGCCGTGGAGCTGCAGGGCCCTGGTGGTGGCCCTGGTGGTGTCCATGGTGGCCCTGGTGTCCCCATTGGTGTCCCCATTGGTGCCCGGCCGGTGGCCGCCCCGGTGGCCGTGGAGCTGCAGGGCCCTGGTGGCCATGGTGGTGTCCATGATGGTGGCCATGGTGGCCCTGGTGGCCATTTTGGTGTCCCCAGTGTCCGGGCGGTGGCCGCCCCGGTGGCCGTGGAGCTGCAGGGCCCTGGTGGTGTCCATGGTGGTGTCCATGATGGTGGCCATGGTGTCCCCAGTGTCCCCATTGGTGTCCCCATTGGTGTCCGGCCGGTGGCCGCCCCGGTGGCCGTGGAGCTGCAGGGCCCTGCTGTCCATCATGGTGTCCATGGTGTCCATGGTGTCCATGGTGGTGACCCTGGTGTCCCTCAGAGGTTTGGTGGCCCTGGTGTCCCCAGTGTCCGGCCGGTGGCCGCCCCGGTGGCCGTGGAGCTGCAGGGCCCTGGTGGTGGCCATGGTGTCCATGCTGGTGTCCATGGTGTCCCCAGTGTCCGGCCGGTGGCCGCCCCGGTGGCCGTGGAGCTGCAGGGCCGGGCCGGGCGCTCGGAGCGGCGCCGCCTCAGCGCCTTCGGCCACGGCCGGAGAGACCCGGGGGGGACACGGGCAGGGCTGGGGGACATCTGGGACTTCTGAGGGGACACCTGGGAGGGGACACCTGAGGGGACACCTGGGGACACCTGGGACAGCTGGGGACACACCTGGGACAGCTGGGGACATCTGGGACTTCTGAGGGGACACCTGGGTGGGGACACACCTGGGGACAGCTCTGGGGACACCTGGGACTTCTGGGACTTCTGAGGGGACACCTGGGGGGGACACACCTGGGGACACACCTGGGACAGCTCTGGGGACAGCTGGGACTTCTGAGGGGACACCTGAGGGGACACACCTGGGACAGCTGGGGACACCTGAGACACCTGGGACATCTGGGACTTCTGAGGGGACACCTGGGGGGGGACACACCTGGGGGGACACAGCTGGGGACACACCTGGGACAGCTGGGGACACCTGGGACAGCTGGGGACATCTGGGGGGGACACACCTGGGACAGCTGGGGACACCTGGGACAGCTCTGGGAACACCTGGGGATGAACACCTGGGGACAGCTGGGACTTCTGAGGGGACACCTGGGAGGGGACATCTGGGGGGACACACCTGGGACAGCTGAGGACACCTGAGGGGACACACCTGGGACAGCTCTGGGGACACCTGGGGACATCTGGGACTTCTGAGGGGACACCTGGGGGGGGACACCTGGGGGGACACCTGGGACAGCTCTGGGGACATCCAAAATGCACCTGGGGACAGCCCTGGGGACACCTGGAACTTCTGAGGGAGCACACCTGGGGGGGGACACACCTGGGGACATCTGGGACACCTGAGGGGACACCTGGGGACACTTCTGGGGTCATTCTTTGGGTCCCCTGGGGACTTTTTTGGGATTTTTTGGGCATTTTTGGGGTCCTGGGATCAATTTTTGGGTCTTTGGGGACATTTTGGGGTCCCTGGGGTCATTTTGGGGACATTTTTGGGGTCTTCAGGGACATTCTGGGGGTCCCAGGTGACTTTTGGGTGATTTTTGGGGTCATTTTTAGGGTCCCTTGGGGACTTTTTTGGGGATCATTTGGGGACATTTTGGGGTATTTGAGGACTTTTTGGGGTTCCTTGGGGACATTTTAGGGACATTTTGGGGTTCTTTGCAGACATTTTGGGTCCTTGAAGGGACATTTTTGGGGACATTTTTGGGTTCTTTTGGGACATTTTGGGGTCTCTGGGGACATTTTTGGGGGACTTTTTGTGCTTTTGGGGATTTTTTGGGGTCATTTTTGGGACATTTTTGATTTTTTTGGGGACATTTTTGGTGGTTTTGGGACGTTTTGCGTCCCCGGGGCTGTCGAAGGGGGCGTGGCCAGCGGGGTTTATGCAAATAAGCCGCGGGTTTGGGGGGAGCCGTGCCTGTACAAACCAATAAAGCGCGATTAAATCATTAATTATGCAAATGAGGCGCGTTTGTCAGCGGGGGGGCTCATTAACCAGCCGGGAGGGGGCGGGGAATTATGCAAATTAAGGGTGTGTTTATGGAAATTAACAGGGCGGTTATGCAAATGAGGCGCGGCGAACGCGGAAGCGCGGCGGGGCTGCGCAAGTGAGCGCTATGCAAATGAGCGACATGCAAATGAGCGATATGCAAATAACAATGTGGGGCGGATAAAAGGCGCGGCCTGATTTCCATATAAGGAGAGGATTGAACCCTGCGGGCCAATCAGCGCGCGGGATGCAAATGAGGCCGCGGTGCTGAAGGGGAGGGGGCGCGAGGCGGCGCGGCGCGGGGGATGTGACGTCACTTCCGTCGCGCGGCTCGTGACGTCACGGCAGCAATGGCGGCGCCGCGGGTGTCGCTGGGGGCGCTGAAGGAGCCGCTGGGGCTGAGCCGGGGCCTGCAGTGGGTGAGGGACTGGGGGATACTGGGATGGACTGGTTTGGACTGGTTTGGACTGGGATGGACTGGGATGGACTGGGAGGGGACTGGGATCGGAACTGGGATCGGAACTGGGACAAACTGGGAGCGACTGGGAGGGGATCGGGGGGCACTGGGATGAACTGGGAGCGACTGGGAGGGAACTGGGGCGGATCGGGGGAGATCTGGGGTTACTGGTTTGTACTGGGATATACTGGTTCATACTGGTTTGGACTGGTTTGTACTGGGATGGACTGGGAACGGGACTGGGAGGGGACTGGGATCGGAACTGGGAACGGAACTGGGATAAACTGGGAGCCGAACTGGGAGGGAACTGGGGCGGGTTTGGGGCTACTGGTTTATACTGGTTTGTACTGGGATGGACTGGGAGGGACTGGGAGGGGACTGGGAACGGAACTGGGACAAACTGGGAGTGACTGGGAGGGGTTTGGGGTTACTGGGAGGGACTGGGAGTGACCGGGAGCCAAACTGGGGGAACTGGGAAGGGACTGGGAGGGAATTGGATGAAAATTTTGGGGATTTTGGGGAATTTTAGGGCTGCATTTTTTTAGCTTTTATTATTATTTTGGTTTTATGTTTATTTTTTTATTTTTATTTCTATTATTTTTATTATATTATTATTTTTATTTTTATTATTTTTATTATTTTTATTATATTATTATTAATTTTTATTATTATTTTTATATTATTATTATTGTTATTATTCCAAGTATTTTATTATCCAATTTTTGTTGCATTTTCCCCATTTTTTACCAAATTTTAGAGCCAAAAATTCGAAATTTTCTCAAGTTTTCCTGAATTTTCCCTTTTTTTAAACCAAATTTTGCCCTTAAAAATTTCAAATTTCCCCGAGTTTTCCCATTTTTACCAAATTTTGCCCCCCAAAATTCCGTATTTTTCCAAGTTTTCCAAATTTTCCCATTTTTTACCATATCTTGTTCTCAATAACCCCAAATTTTCCCAAATTCCCCATTTTTTAACCAAATTTTGCCCTCAAAAATCCCACAAAAAAATTTCCCAAAACTTCCCCATTTTTGACCAAATTTCCATCCAAAAAATCCCAAATGTTCCCCAAATTTTCATCTCAAAAATCCCAAAATTTTCCCAATTTTCCCAAATTTCCCCATTTTTATCCAAATCTTGGCCTCAAAAATCTCAAATTTCCCAAATTTCCCCATTTTTCACAAAAATTTAACCTAAAAAATCCTAAATTTCCCCAAAATTTCCCCAAATTTCCCCATTCTTATCAAAATCTTGGCCTCTAAATCCCAAATTTCCCCAAACTTTTTCCATCTTAACCAAATTTTCCCTTCCAAAATCCCAGTTTTTTCCCCCAAATTTTTACCGTTTTTCCCCAAATTTTGACCTCAAAACCTCCAAATTTTCCCAAAATTTTCCCAAATTTTCCCCCAATTCCCCCAATTTTCCCCATGGTTTTTTTTTCCTTTCCTTCCCCCAAAATCCATAATTTCAATATTTTTCCCCATTTTTTCCCAAAATCCCCGTTTTTCCCCCCAGTTTTTCTCCATCTTCGCCTTCGCCACCTGCGGCGGCTTCGAGGGCTCCGTCACCGTCAGCGTCACCTGCGCAGGTGGGGACAACGGCACCGAGGCGCGGGCGACCAACGTCACGGCCACCTACGGGTACCCCTTCAGGTGAGTGGGGACAGGTGAGGGACATTGGGGACACACCTGGGGACAGGTGACCAACGTCACGGCCACCTACGGGTACCCCTTCAGGTGAGGGACATTGGGGACACCTGGGGACAGGTGAGGGACACCTGGGACACACCTGGGAACGGGCGACCAACGTCACGGCCACCTACGGGTACCCCTTCAGGTGAGTGGGGACAGGTGAGGGACATTGGGGACAGGTGAGGGACACACCTGGGACAGGTGAGGGATATTGGGGACATTGGGGACATTGGGGACACACCTGGGACAGGCGACCAACGTGACGGCCACCTACGGGTACCCCTTCAGGTGAGTGACATGGGGACACCTGGGGACATTGGGGACACCTGGGGACAGGTGAGGGACATTGGGGACACACCTGGGACAGGCGACCAACGTCACGGCCACCTATGGGTACCCCTTCAGGTGAGTGGGGACACCTGGGGACAGGTGAGGGACACACCTGGGACACACCTGGGACAGGCGACCAACGTCACGGCCACCTACGGGTACCCCTTCAGGTGAGCGGGGACACACCTGGGGACAGGTGAGGGACATTGGGGACATTGGGGACACCTGGGGACAGGTGAGGGACACACCTGGGGACATTGGGGACACACCTGGGACAGGTGAGGGACATTGGGGACATTGGGGACACCTGGGGACAGGTGAGGGACATTGGGGACAGGTGAGGGACATTGGGGACAGGTGAGGGACACACCTGGGACAGGCGACCAACGTGACGGCCGCCTACGGGTACCCCTTCAGGTGAGCATGGACACACCTGGGACAGGTGAGGGACACACCTGGGGACATTGGGGACATTGGGGACAGGTGAGGGACACACCTGGGACAGGCGACCAACGTCACGGCCACCTACGGGTACTCCTTCAGGTGAGTGGGGACACACCTGGGACAGGTGAGGGACATTGGGGACATTGGGGACACACCTGGGGACAGGTGAGGGACATTGGGGACATTGGGGACACACCTGGGACAGGTGAGGGACATTGGGGACACACCTGGGACACACCTGGGACAGGTGACGAACGTGACGGCCTCGTACGGGTACCCCTTCAGGTGAGTGACACACCTGGGGACAGGTGAGGGACATTGGGGACACACCTGGGACAGGTGAGGGACATTGGGGACACCTGGGGACATTGGGGACACACCTGGGACAGGTGACGAACGTCACGGCCACCTATGGGTACCCCTTCAGGTGAGTGACACACCTGGGACAGGTGAGGGACATTGGGGACATTGGGGACATTGGGGACACACCTGGGGACAGGTGACGAACGTGACGGCCGCCTACGGGTACCCCTTCAGGTGAGGGACATGGGGACACACCTGGGGACACCTGGGGACACCTGGGAGACACTTGGATGGGGGGGGGATGGAAGGTGCAGAACGTTCCAAAGTTGTCCCAGGTGTCCCCAGGTGTGCCCAGGTGACCCTCAGGTGACCCCCAGGTGTCCCTCAGGTGACCCCAGGTGTCCCCAGGTGACCCCAGGTCCCTCTCAGGTGACCCCAGGTCTGTCCAGATGACCCCAGGTGGCCCTCAGGTGACTCCAGGTGTGCTCAGGTGACCCCCAGGTGATTCCAGGTGACCCCAGGTCCCTCTCAGGTGTGCCCAGGTGACCCTCAGGTGATTCCAGGTGTGCCCAGGTGACCCCAAGTGTGCCCAGGTCCTCCTCAGGTGACCCCAGGTCCCTCTCAGGTGTGTCCAGATGACCCCAGGTGTGCTCAGGTGACCCTCAGGTGATTCCAGGTGTGCCCAGGTGTGCCCAGGTTCCTCTCAGCTGTGCTCAGGTGACCCTCAGGTGACCCCAGGTGATTCCAGCTGTGCCCAGGTTCCTCTCAGCTGTGCTCAGGTGACCCTCAGGTGATTCCAGGTGACCCCAGGTCCCTCTCAGGTGTGTCCAGATGACCCCAAGCGTGCCCAGGTGACCCTCAGGTGATTCCAGATGTACCCAGGTGACCCTCAGGTGACCCCAGGTCCCTCTCAGGTGACCCCAGGTGATTCCAGCTGTGCCCAGCTGTGCCCAGGTGACCCCAGGTGTGCCTTTCCTCTCCCCAGGTTGAACCAGGCCGTGTTCCAGCCCTCCCTGACTCACCTGTGCAACCACACCTGGCCCCAGGACGTTCACCTGGTCGGGGATTTCTCCTCGGCCGCCAGGTTCTTCGTGGGCGTGGCCGTGGGCGCCTTCCTCTACAGCCTGGGGGCGCTGGGGCTGTACCTGGGCTACCTGCACCTGTACAGGTGTGCGGGGTCCCGCCTGCCCCTCCTGGTGAGTGACATTCACCTGTACAGGTGTGCCCAGGTGTGCCCTGGGGTGTTACCTGTACAGCCTGGGGGCGCTGGGGCTGTACCTGGGCTACCTGCACCTGTACAGGTGTGCGGGGTCGCGCCTGCCCCTCCTGGTGAGTGACATTCACCTGCACAGGTGGGGTTTGGGAACTCAATTCAGGTGTGACCAGGTGGGATTTGGGAACTCCATTCAGGTGGGTTCAGGTGGGACTTACCTGCTCAGGTGTGCTCAGGTGGGGTTATGGAACTCAATTTACCTGTACAGGTGTGCTCAGGTGTGTTCAGGTGGGATTTGGGAACTCAATTCAGGTGTGTCCAGGTGGGGTTCACCTGTACAGGTGTGACCAGGTGGGGTTTGGGAGCTCAGTTCAGGTGAGCTCAGGTGGGGTTTTACCTGCACAGGTGAGCTCGGGTGGGGTTTAGGAACTCAACTTACCTGTACAGGTGTGTTCAGGTGGGGTTTGGGAGCTCAGTTCAGGTGTGCTCAGGTGGGATTTAGGAACTCACCTGTACAGGTGGGCTCAGGTGAGTTCAGGTGGGATTTGGGAACTCAATTCAAGTCAGTTCAGGTGGGCTCAGGTGGGATTTAGAGGCCCAGGTGTGTTTAGGTGGGATTTACCTGCTCAGGTGGGATTTGGGAACTCAATCCAGGTGTGTCCAGGTGTGCTCAGGTGGGGTTGACCTGCCCAGGTGTGCCCAGGTGTGCTCTGGGGTGTTACCTGTACAGCCTGGGGGCGCTGGGGCTGTACCTGGGCTACCTGCACCTGTACAGGTGTGCGGGGTCGCGCCTGCCCCTCCTGGTGAGTGACATTCACCTGCTCAGGTGGGGTCTGGTGGGGTTTAGGAACTCGATTCAGGTGTGACCAGGTGGGATTGACCTGCCCAGGTGGGGTTTGGGAGCTCAGAACAGGTGGGTCCAGGTGAGCTCAGGTGGGGTTTAGGAACTCACCTGTACAGGTGGGCTCAGGTGGGATTTAGGAGCTCAGTTCAGGTGACCTCAGGTGGGGTTTGGGAGCTCAGGTGTGTCCAGGTGTGCTCAGGTGGGGTTTAGGAACTCACCTGTACAGGTGGGCTCAGGTGAGCTCAGGTGGGGTTTGGGAACTCAATCCAGGTCAGTTCAGGTGTGCTCAGGTGGGGTTGACCTGCCCAGGTGTGCCCAGGTGTGCTCTGGGGTGTTACCTGTACAGCCTGGGGGTGCTGGGGCTGTACCTGGGCTACCTGCACCTGTACAGGTGTGCGGGGTCCCGCCTGCCCCTCCTGGTGAGTGACAGTCACCTGCACAGGTGTGCCCAGGTGGGGTCTGGTGGGGTTTGGGAGCTTGATTCAGGTGTGCTCAGGTGGGATTTAGGAACTCCATTCAGGTGTGTCCAGGGGGGTTCAGGTGGGATTGATCTGCTCAGGTGAGCTCAGGTGGGGTTTGGGAACTCAACTGACCTGTACAGGTGGGCTCAGGTGGGATTTGGGGACTCAATTCAGGTGTGCCCAGGCAAGCTCAGGTGGGGTTTAGGAACTCAACTTACCTGTACAGGTGTGTCTAGGTGGGATTGACCTGCTCACGTGGGGTCTGATGGGGTTTGGGAGCTCAGAACAGGTGGGCTCAGGTGTGACCAGGTGGGGTTTAGGAACTCAACTCACCTGTACAGATGTGCTCAGGTGTGTTCAAGGGGGATTTGGGAACTCCATTCAGGTGGATTCAGGTGGGGTTTGGGAACTCAGGTGAGCTCAAGTTTGTCCAGGTGAGCTCAGGTGGGATTTGGGAGCTCAGTTCAGGTGGGCTCAGGTGGGCTCAGGTGTGTCCAGGTGGGATTTGGGAGCTCAGGTGAGCTCAGGTGGGGTTTAGGAACTCAACTCACCTGTACAGGGGTGCTCAGGTGAGCTCAGGTGGGGTTTGGGAACTCAATTCAGGTGTGCTCAGGTGGGATTGACCTGCCCAGGTGAGCTCAGGTGGGGTTTAGGAACTCAATTCAAGTCGGTTCAGGTGTGCTCAGGTGGGATTTAGAGGCCCAGGTGTGTTCAGGTGGGATTTACCTGCTCAGGTGGGATTTAGGAACTGAATTCAGGTGGTTCCAGGTGGGATTTGGGAGCTCCGTTCAGGTGGGACTTACCTGCTCAGGTGTGCTCAGGTGGGGTTTAGGAACTCAATTTACCTGTACAGGTGGGCTCAGGTGTGTTCAGGTGGGATTGACCTGCCCAGGTGGGATTTGGGAACTCAATTCAGGTGTGTCCAGGTGAGCTCAGGTGGGATTGACCTGTTCAGGTGTGTTCAGGTGGGGTTTGGGAGCTCAGAACAGGTGGGCTCAGGTGGGTTCAGGTGTGTCCAGGTGGGATTTGGGAACTCAATTCAGGTGTGTCCAGGTGGGGTTCACCTGTACAGGTGTGACCAGGTGGGGTTTGGGAGCTCAGTTCAGGTGTGCTCAGGTGGGATTTAGGAACTCACCTGTACAGGTGGGCTCAGGTGAGCTCAGGTGGGGTTTAGGAACTCAATTCAAGTCGGTTCAGGTGGGATTTACCTGCTCAGGTGGGATTTGGGAGCTCAGTTCAGGTGAGCTCAGGTGGGATTGACCTGACGAGGTGTGACCAGGTGGGGTTTAGGAACTCAATTCAGGTGGGCTCAGGTGGGATTTAGGAACTGAATTCAGGTGAGCTCAAGTGTGTCCAGGTGTGTTCAGGTGGGATTTGGGAGCTCAGAACAGGTGGGTCCAGGTGGGATTTAGGAGCTCGGTTCAGGTGGGATTTACCTGCTCAAGTGTGTCCAGGTGAGCTCAGGTGGAATTTAGGAACTGAATTCAGGTGTGCCCAGGTGTGCTCAGATGGGATTTGGGAACTCAGTCCAGGTGTGTCCAGGTGGGGTTTGGGAACTCAATTCAGGTGTGCTCAGGTGGGATTTGGGAGCTCAGGTGAGCTCAGGTGGGGTTTAGGCACTCAACTCACCTGTACAGGTGGGCTCAGGTGAGTTCAGGTGGGGTTTAGGAACTCAATTCAGGTCGGTTCAGGTGAGCTCAGGTGGGATTTAGATGCCCAGGTGGGCTCAGGTGGGATTTAGGAGCTCAGTTCAGGTGGGCTCAGGTGTGTCCAGGTGGGATTTGGGAGCTCAGGTTTGTCCAGGTGGGCTCAGGTGGGATTTAGGAACTCAACCTGTACAGGTGTGCTCAGGTGGTTCCAGGTGGGATTTGGGAGCTCAGGTGAGCTCAAGTGGGGTTTAGGAGCTCAGTCCAGGTGTGCTCAGGTGGGGTTTAGGAACTGAATTCAGGTGAGCTCAGGTGTGTCCAGGTGGGCTCCAATGGGGTCTAGGAGCTCAGTCCAGGTGTGTCCAGGTGGGATTTGGGAGCTCAGGTGGGGTTTAGGATCTCACCTGTACAGGTGTGCTCAGGTGGGTGCAGGTGGGGTTTAGGAGCTCAACTCAGGTGTGTCCAGGTGAGCTCAGGTGGGATTTAGGAACTGAATTCAGGTGAGCTCAGGTGTGCCCAGGTGTGTCCAGGTGTGTTCAGGTGTGTTCAGGTGTGTTCAGGTGGGGTTTAGGAGCTCAACTTACCTGTACAGGTGGGCTCAGGTGGGATTTAGGATCTTACCTGTACAGATGGGCCCAGGTGACCTCAGGTGGGATTTGGGAGCTCCATTCACGTGAGCTCAGGTGGGGTTTGGGAGCTCAGGTGTGTCCAGGTGAGCTCAGGTGGGATTTTGGAACTGAATTCAGGTGTGTCCAGGTGGGATTTAGGAACTCAACTCAGGTGTGCTCAGGTGTGTCCAGGTGAGCTCAGGTGGGATTTAGGAACTCACCTGTACAGGTGTGTCCAGTTGGGTGCAGGTGGGATTTGGGAGCTCAGGTGAGCTCAGGTGGGGTTTGGGAGCTCAGTCCAGGTGTGTCCAGGTGGGATTTAGGAACTGAATTCAGGTGGGCTCAGGTGGGATTTAGGAGCTCGGCCCAGTTGGGCTCAGGTGAAATTTTTGGGTCTCCCCAGTGGGAATTCCAACAGAACGTGACAAAATTCTGAGGGAATTTCGGTGGAAATTTGGGAATTTCGGTGGAATTTTGGGGAATTTCGATGGAATTCAGCAGAATTCTGAGGAAATTTGGGAGGATTTTGGTGGAATTTTTGCGAATTTCGACGGAATTTTGCGGATTTTAAGACAAAATTCGTGGGAATTTTGACAGAATTTGGGCAATTCTGAGGAAATTTCGGTGGGGTTTCGATGAAATTCGGGGATTTTTATGAAATTGTGGGGAATTTGGGGATTTTTAGGGAATTTCTGAGGGACTTTTTGCTGAAATTTGGGAAAATTGTGATGAAATTTGGGGGGAATTTTGATGGAATTTCAGGAACTTTAACCAGGATTTTTTTTATCATTTTTGATGGAATTTAGGGGAATTATTTTGGTATTTTTTAAATTTTTAGGAATTTTTATGAAATTTGGGGAATTCTGAGGAAATTTTGGAGAATTTTGACGGAATTTCGACAAAATTTCGATGGAATTTGGGGAATTTTTGAAGGAACTTTCAATTAAATTTGTGAGAATTTTGATGGAATTTTTAGGAATTTGGGGGGGATTTTGATGGAATTTTTAGGAATTCAGGAGAATTTTTCCCCAAATTTCCAAATTTTGGTGCAAATTTTGGGGTTCCCGATGGAATTTTGGTCGATTTTGGGGGGTTTAACCCTTTGTGCCCCTTCTCTCTCCCTTTGCTGCCTCTGAAGGACCCCAGGTAAGTCCTGACCCCAAAATTCCCATTTTTTCCCTCAAAATTCCCATTTTTTCCCTCAAAATTCCCATTTTTCCCTCAAACTTTCCCTTTTCCCCCCTAAAATTCTCTTTTTTCCCCCAAAAATCTCATTTTTCACCCCAAAATTCCCATTTCCCCTCCAAAATTCACGTTTTCCTTGCAAAATTCCCATTTTTCACCCCAAAATTCCCATTTTCCTCTCAAAACTCTGCAGGAATTTTTTACCTTTTTATCCCAATTTTTTTCCTTTTTTCTCACTTTTTCTGTCTCTTTCCCTCCTTTTATATTTTTCCCATTTTTCCCTTTTTTCCCTCAATTTTTGGGTCGTTTTCCTGCATTTTTAGATCATTTTTTGTCCATTTTTGGATCATTTTTTGTGCTATTTTTAGGTCATTTTCCTGCTATTTTTGGGCCATTTCTTTTCCATTTTTAGGTCATTTTGGGGGCACTTTTGGGCCATTTTCTCTCTGTTTTTTCATGGTTTTTTTAGTATTTTCTCCATTTTTGGGGCCATTTTTCCTCCATTTTTTCTCCATTTTTAATCCATTTTTCCTCCATTTTTGTGCCATTTTTAATCCATTTTTTCTCCCTTTTTTGTGCCATTTTTAATCAATTTTTGTGTCATTTTCCTCCATTATTGAGCCATTTTTTGCAATTTTTGAGCCATTTTTAATCCTTTTTTGGGCCATTTTTTCTTTATTTTTGGGCCATTTTTTGCCATTTTTGAGCCATTTTTAATCCATTTTTATGCAATTTTCACTCGGTTTTTGGGCCATTTTTTCTCCATTTTTGCGTCATTTTCCTTTTATTTTTGGGTCATTTTCTGACCAATTTTGTGCCATTTTTTCTCCATTTTTTGGCCATTTTCTCTTCATTTTTGGGTCATTTTCTCTCTTATTTTTGAGTTGTTTTCCCGCCATTTTTGGGTCATTTCTTACCCATTTTTAGACCATTTTTGGGGCATTTTTTCTCCATTTTTGTGCCATTTTTTGGCAGTTTTCACTCAATTTTTGCGCCTTTTTTTCCTCCTTTTTTCCTTCATTTTTTAGAGCATTTTCTCCATTTCTGGGTCATTTTCCCACCATTTTTTCTTCTTTTCTCTCCATTTTTGGGTCATTTTCTCTCCATTTTTGGGTCATTTCCTCTCTTATTTTTGAGTTGGTTTTTGGGGTTTTTTTTGCATTTTCCCACCATTTTTGGGTCATTTTCTCTCTATTTCTGTGCCATTTTTTTCTCTCATTTTGGGTCATTTTCCCACCATTTTTTCTTTTTTTCTCTCAATTTTTGGGTTATTTCCTCTCTTATTTTTGAGTTGTTTTCTCTCTATTTTTGGGTCATTTTCTCTCTATTTTTGGGTCATTTCTCTCCATTTTTGGGCCATTTTTTCTTCCATTTTTTGGCCATTTTGTGCCATTTTTGGCTCATTTTCTCCCCATTTTTGGGTCATTTTCTCTCTTATTTTTGAGTTGTTTTCTCTCCATTTTTTGGCCATTTTCCCTCCATTTTTGGGTCATTTTCTCTCTCATTTTTAATTTTTTTTTCCCCCCATTTTGGGTCATTTTCTGACCATTTTTTCTCCATTATTTCCCAATTTCTCCTTCGATTTCTGATCCCCACCTCTGCCCCTCCCCCATTTCTGGTCAGTTTTTCTCCATTTTTTCTCCAATTTTCCCCATTTTTTCGCCATTTTTTCCCATTTTTCGTATTTTTTTCCCATCTTTTCCTGTTTTCCTGATTTTTCTCCCCATTTCCGTGCCCAGTCCCTGCTCTTCTCGTGCCTCGGCTTGGCCTCCCCTCCATTTTTGGGCCATTTTTTTTCTATTTTTGGGTCATTTTCCTGCCATTTTGGGGTCGGCTTTCCTCCAGTTTTGGGTCTTTTTGCCTCCATTTTTGGGCCATTTTTGTGTCATTTTTGTGCCATTTTTTGGCAATTTTCACTCAATTTTTGGGCCATTTTTTCTCATTTTTTTAGACCATTTTCCCCATTTTTGGGTCATTTTTTCTCTTATTTTTGAGTTGGTTTTTGGGGTTTTTTTTGCATTTTTCCACCATTTTTGTGCTTTTTTTTTTTTTCCATTTCTGGGTCATTTTCCCACCATTTTTTCTTTTTTTCTATCAATTCTTGGGTCATTTTCTTTCCATTTTTGGGTCATTTTCTCTCCATTTTTGGATCTTTTGGGTCATTTTCTCTCCATTTTTGTGTCATTTTCTCTCTCATTTTTTTAATTTTTTTCCCCCCATTTTGGGTCATTTTCTGACCATTTTTTGCTCATTTTTTGACCATTTTTGGCTCATTTCTTACCCATTTTTGGGGCATTTCTTACCCATTTTTAGACCATTTTTGGGGCATTTCTTACCCATTTTCCCCCTCAATTCCTGTGCCCCTCCCCCATTTTCCCCTCCCCCTGCTCCTCCTCCATTTTCGCCTCTTTCCCCCTCATTTTTCCCCCATTTTCCCCAGTTTTTTTTTGGGTTTTTTCGCCATTTTTTGTGGTTTTTTCCCGTTTTTTCCCATTTTCCTGATTTTTCTCCCCGTTTCCGTGCCCAGGACCTGCTCTTCTCGTGCCTCGGTGCCGCTCTCTGGCTCGGCGCCTCCTCGGCCTGGGCCCAGGGCCTGCGCCACGTCCGGGCGGCCGTGACCGCGCCCCTCCCCCACTGCCCCTCCCCCACCGCCAGCTGCGCCCCCCCCGCGGCCACGCCCATGGGGGGGCTGGGGGCGTCCGTGGTGAGAAACGATGGGGGAAACTGAGGCACGGAGGGGGCGGGGCCATGGGGAGGGGCTGTAGGCATGTGTGGTGAGAAACAATGGGGGAAACTGAGGCATGGAGGGGGCGGGGCTGGGGGCGGGGCCATGGTCATGGGCGGGGCTGGGGGTGTCCGTGGTGAGAAACAATGGGGGAAACTGAGGCACAATGGGGGGAAATTGAGACACTGAGGGGGCGGGGCAAGGGGCGGGGCTGGGGGAATCCATGGTGAGAAACGATGGGGGAAACTGAGGCACAGGGAGGGGGAAACTGAGCACAATGGGGGCAAACTGAGGCATGGAGGGGGCGGGGCAAGGGGCGGGGCTGGGGGCGTCCGTGGTGAGAAATTGGGGGGAAACTGAGGCACGGAGGGGGGAAACTGAGGCACAATGGGGGGGGTGGGAGAGGATTTGGGGGAGAAATCAAACAGGGAAACTGAGGCATGGAGGGGGAGGGGATTTGGGGGATGGGGGAGGGGATTTTGGGGGAAATCAAGTGGGGGAAACTGAGGCAGGGGTGGGGGAGGGGAATCAGCCATTTTGGGCCACACCCAGACTGCGTTGGGGGCGGGGCTTGGGTGGAGACAGCAGGTGGTGGGGGAGGGGCTTACAGAGGTAGGGGGCGGGGCTTGTAAGCCTGGCCCCGCCCCCACCCCGCGTCTCTTCCAGGCCTTCGGGTTCCTCAATCTCCTGCTCTGGGCCGGCGGCTCCTGGTTCGTCTACAAGGAGACCCCTCTGCACCGCCCGGCCCCGCCCCCTGACCCCGCCCCCATGTGACCACGCCCCCTCCCCCACACTTTTCTAGCGGTGCCGATTTGGGGGGGCGGGGCTGAAACGTGGGGGGCGGGGCCGGGCGTTGGGGGAGGGGCTTTGTGCGCTGAGCTCTGGGGGGGGAGGGGAGGGGAAGGGTGGGGGAGGGGTGGGTGACGGTGACGCCTTGGGGGGCCTTGGGTTGACCTTTGGGTGACCTCGCTTGGCCTTGGGTGGGTGTGGTCTGGACCTTGGGGGGGCCTTGGGTTGGTTGGGCTTGGCCTTGGGTTGGCCTTGGGTTGGGCTTGACCCTGAGTTGGTTTTTGGGTTGGTCTTGACCTTGGGTTGGTCTTGACCATGGGTTGATCTTGACTTCGGGTTGGTCTCGACTTTGGGTTGATCTTGACCTTGGCTTGGTTTTGACTTTAGGTTGGTCTTGGGGTTGGTCTTGGCCATGGTTGGGTCTTAACTTGGGCCTGATCTTAATCATGACTTGGTCTTGACCTTGGGTTGGTCTTGGCTTCAGGTTGACTTTGGCCATGGATTGGTCTTGACTTTGGGTTGGTCTTGACCTTGGGTTGGTCTTGACTTTGGGTTGGTCTTGACTTCAGTTTGGTCTTGACCATTTGTTAGTCTTGACTTTGGGTTGGTCTTGACTTTGTTGGTTTTGACTTTAGGTTGGTCTTTGGTTTGGTCTTGGCCATTGGTTGGTCCTGACTTTGGGTTGGCCTTGACTTCGGGCTGGTCTTGACTCTGGGTTCATTGGTCTTGGCCATGGTTGGGTCTTAACTTGGGCCTGATCTTAATCATGACTTGGTCTTGGCCTTGGGTTGGTCTTGGCCATGAGTTGGTCTTGGCTTTGGGTTGACTTTGGCCATGGATTGGTCTTGACCTTGGGTTGATCTTGACTTTGGGTAGGTCTTAACCTTGGGTTGGTCTTGGCCATGAGTTGGTCTTGGCTTTGGGTTGACTTTGGCCATGGATTGGTCTTGACTTTGGGCTGGTCTTGACTTTGGGTTGGCCTTGGCCATTGATTGGTCTTGGCCATGGGTTGGTCTTGACCTTGGGTTGGTTGATCTTGACCATGGGTTGGTCTTGACTTTGGGCTGGTCTTGACCTTGGGTTGGTCTTGGCCATGGGTTGATCTTGGCCCTGGGTTTGGTCTTGAGCTTGAGTTGGTCTTGACTTTAGGTTGGTCTTGACCATTGGTTGGTTGACCTTGACTGGGCGTGGCCTTGACCTGGGCTGACCATCAATGGAGGCGACCGTTGGGTTGGCCTTGATTTCGTTAACGGTTAATTGGTTAATTGGGCTGACCACTGGGTTGGCCTTGATTTCGTTAACGGTTAATTGGTTAATTGGGCTGACCACTGGGTTGGCCTTGACTTTGACCATCGATTGTCCGGTCTTGACTCGCGTCGGTCGTTGGGTTGAGTTTTGCTGACCATTGCTTGGGTTGACCAAGGGTTGCGTTGAGTTGATCTTGAGTTTGGCTTTGGTTGGGTTGGGTTGGGTTGACATTGGTTGACGTTGGGTTGGGTTGAGTTGACCTTGGCTGACCTTGAGTTGGATTTGGTTGACCTTGACTTGAATCGGGATCAGTTGACGTTGAGTTGGGTTGGGTTGACCTTGGGTTGGGTTGGGTTGACCTTGGGTTGAGTTGGGTTGACCTTGGTTGACTTTGGGTTGGGTTTGGTTGATTTTAGGGTTGGTTGGGTTGGGTTTGGTTGGTTGACCTTGGGTTGGGTTGACCTTGGGTTGGGTTGACCTTGGTTGACTTTGGGTTGAGTTGGGTTGGTTTGGTTGGGTTGGGTTGACCTTGGGATGGTTGGGTTGACCTTGGTTGACCTTGGGTTGGGTTTGGTTGATTTTGGGTTTGGTTGGGTTGTCCTTGTCTGACCTTTGCTTGACCCCGCTCGGGATTCGCGGCCCCTGATTGGCCCCACCCCCTCTGCCCTCCTCCCATTGGCTCCTCCCCTTGGTGGGCGTGGCCAAACACTCCGGGCTCCCCTCCCCTCCCCCCCCCGCTCCGCAAGTGCCTCAATAAACGAAATTCTGGGAAAAAGCCCCAAAATCGACGCCGGGAGCGGGGGAGGGGCCACGCCCGCCCCTCCCCCGCCCAGGGGACCCTTGGGGACATCGCGGGGGGGGGAGGGGAGGGGGGGTTGGGGACACCAGAGACGGACCCGAGGCCGCGTTTGCCCCAAATTTATTGGTTCTGAGCCCAAATCCGCGTCCCCTCCGTCACCGCCCGGGGGTGGCACCGAGATGGCCCCAAGATGGCCCCAAGGTGGCCTTGGTGACACCAAGATGGCGCTGGTGGCACCGAGATGGCCCAAATGTGCCCCAGGTGCCATCACCGTGTCCCTTGTCCCCACCCTGTGCTGGCCCAGCTCCGTGCGCCCACCACGTCCCCAGAGCGTCCCCGTGCCACCACCGCGTGTCCCCATGATGTCCCCAAAGTGTCCCCAAGGTGTCCCCAAGGTCCCCATGATGTCATCATGATGTCCCCAAGGTGTCCCCGTGATGTCCCCAAGGTGTCCCCAAGGTGTCCCCTGTTGGTGTCCATGGTGTCCTGGAGCCAGCACAGGTCAAGTGTGACCTTGGTGTCCCCCATCCCTGGGTCCCCAAGGTGTCCCCAGGCTGTCCCCACGATGTCCCCAAGGTGTCCCCATGATCTCCCCATGATGTCCCCAAGGTGTCCCCAAGGTGTCCTCATGATCTCCATGATGTCCCCATGATGTCCCCATGTCCCCAGGTCAGTTCCTGTCCATGGTGTCCAGGATCCATGGGATGAACCTGCAGACCCTGGTGTGACCCATCCCCGTGTCCCCATGTCCTGAGCCTGTTCCCAGCCTGTCCCCATGATCTCCCCATGTTCCCATGATGTCCCCATGATGTCCCCATGATGTCCCCAAGGTGTCCCCATGATGTCCCCAGGTCAATTCCTGTCCATGGTGTCCAGGATCCATGGGATGAACCTGCAGACCCTGGTGTGACCCATCCCCGTGTCCCCATGATCTCCCATGATCTCCATGATGTCCCCATGTCCCCAAGGTGTCCCCATGATCTCCATGATGTCCCCATGATGTCCCCAAGGTGTCCCAGGTCAGTTCCTGTCCATGGTGTCCAGGATCCACGGGATGAACCTGCAGACCCTGGTGTGACCCATCCCCAAGGTGTCCCATGATCTCCCCATGATCTCCCCATGATGTCCCCATGATGTCCCCAAGGTGTCCCCATGATGTCCCCATGGCCCCAAGGTGTCCCCAAGGTGTCCCCAGGTCAGTTCCTGTCCATGGTGTCCAGGATCCACGGGATGAACCTGCAGACCCTGGTGTGACCCATCCCCGTGTCCCCATGATGTCCCCATGATCTCCATGATCTCCCCATGTTCCCGTGATGTCCCCATGATGTCACCATGTCCCCATGATGTCCCCAAGGTGTCCCCAAGGTCAGTTCCTGTCCATGGTGTCCAGGATCCATGGGATGAACCTGCAGACCCTGGTGTAGACCCCGGGGTGGCCGGGCAGGGCGCAGGTCTGGAGCCCCCAGGAGACCACGCCCTGCAGGGTCCCATTGCAGGACAGGGGACCCCCGGAGTCACCCTGGGGACACACGCAGGGGTCAGAGGTCACCCGGGGCACTCGGGGTCATTCGGGGCATTTTGGGGATTTTTGGGGGATTTTTGGGGGATTTTTTTGGAATTTTTGGGGATTTTTTTGGGGGGATTTTTGGGGTTGTGGTCACTCAGGGGTCAGCAGATGTTGGGCAGATTTTGTGCAGAATTGGGACAGATTTGGGGCAGAATTTGATCAGATTTGGGGCAGATTCTGGGCAGAATTTGGGCAGATTTGGGGCAGGATTTTAGGTGGATTTTGGGTGGAATTTGGGCAGAATTTGGTCAAATTTGGAGCAGATTTGGGGCAGATTCTGGGCAGAATTGGGGTGGATTTTGGGCAGAATTTGGGCAGATTTTGGGTGGATTTTTAGGGCAGATTTTGGGGCAGATTTTGGGTGGAATTTGGGCAGATTTGGGGTGGATTTTGGGGCAGATTTGGGGTGGAATTTGGGCAGATTTGGGGTGGATTTTTTGTCAGATTTTGGGTGTATTTTGTTCAGATTTTAGGCAAATTTTAGGCAGAATTTGGGCAGATTTGGGTGGATTTAGGGTGTACCAGATTTTGGTCAGGCTTGGGGCCGATTTTAGGTGGATTTGGGGCAGATTTTGGTCAGGTTTGGGGCAGATTTGGGGCAGATTTTGGTCAAGTTTGGGGCAGATTTTAGGTGGATTTTGGGTGGAATTTGGTCGTACTTTGGGCAGATTTGGGGCAGATTTTTGTCAGATTTTGGTCCAATTTTTGTCAGATTTTGGTCCAATTTGGGGCAGATTTTGGGCAGATTTTGGTCCGATTTGGGGCAGATTTTTGTCAGTTTTTTTGGGCAGATTTTGGTCCGATTTGGGGAAGATTTGGGGCAGATTTTGGTCAGGTTTGGGGCAGATTTTGGTCCGGTTTGGGGCAGATTTCAGGCAGATTTTGGGCAGATTTGGGCCAGATTTTCGGTGGATTTTGGTCAGATTTTGGGTGTAATTCGGTCATAACTTCCTGAGGTTTGGAGCAGATTCTGGGCAGGTTTTGGTCAGCCTTTGGGCCGATTTTGGGCAGAATCTGCCCAGATTTTGGGCACATTCAGGGAGGATTTAGGTCAGATCTGGGGCGAGTTCAGGCCGGGTTGGGGCGAGTTCAGGCCGGGTTTGGGGCGAGTTTAGGTCAGATCTGGGACGAGTTCAGGCCGGGTTTGGGGCGTGTTCAGGCCGGGTTTGGGGCGCGTTCAGGCCGGGTTTGGGGCGAGTTTAGGCCGGGTTTGGGGCGAGTTTAGGCCGGGTTTGGGGCGATTTTGGGCCAGGTTTGGGGCGAGTTTAGGTCAGATCTTGGGCGAGTTCAGGCCGGGTTTGGGACGCGTTCAGGCCGGGTTTGGGGCGATTTTGGGCCGGGTTTGGGGCGCGTTCAGGCCGGGTTTGGGGCGCGTTCAGGCCGGGTTTGGGGCGCGTTCAGGCCGGGTTTGGGGCGCTCTGGGCGCTGACCTGGCAGGAGTCGACGCGGCGGTTGCTGACGCCGGCGCAGAGCATGCTGGGCGTGATGCGCCGCGGGTACGCCCGGCGACAGGCGGCGTCCGACAGCAGCTGCACGTAGGCGCACATCAGCCGGTCCGGGAGCGTCACTGCCGGGTACTCGCGGGTTACTCAGGGGTTACTCGGGGGTTACTCGGGTGTCAGATGGGTGGGGACACCCCCAGGATGGTCCTGGAGGGTGCCAGAGCTACTCATGTTTTACTCATAGGTTACTCATGGGTTACTCGGGGGTTACTCGGGTGTCAGAGGGGTGGGGACACCCCCAGGATGGTCCTGGAGGGCCCCAGGGGCTACTCAGGGGTTACTCAGGGGTTACTCAGGGGTTACTCAGAGGTTACTCAGGGATCAGGCAGCTCGGGAGCATCACTGTGGGGACACCGGGGTTACTCAGGGGTTACTCAGGGGTAACGGATGCTGTGGCTGAGGCTGGCCTGGGGAGCCCCAAATTCACCCCAATTTTACCCCAAATTCACCCCAATTTCCCCTTCAATTTTCCCCAAATTTCACTCAAATTTCAGCCCAATTTCCCCTTCCATTTTCCCCCAAATTTCACCCAAATTTCCCCTTCAGTTTCCCCAAATTTACCCCAAATTTCACCCCAATTTCCCCGTGAATTTTCCCCAAATTTCACTCAAATTTCACCCCAATCTCACCCAAATTTTCTCCAAATTTCACCCCAATTTCCCTTCAGTTTTCCCCAAATTTCACCTAAATTCACTCAAATTCCTCCAATTTCCCCCCAGTTTTTTACCCTGGGGCGTGGTGACGGTGCCCCAGCCGGACAGCAGGCAGGACTCGCCGGGCCGGCCGCACTCCCGGGGCAGCGCCAGCGGCCGCACGCTCCGGCCAATGGCCCCGGGAGCCCCAAATTCACCCAAATTTCACCCCAAATTCCCCGTGAATTTTCCCCAAATTTCACTCGAATTTCACCCCAATTTCACCCAAATTTCACTCTATTTTCACGTCAATTTTCTCCAAATTTCACCCCAATTTCACCCCAATTTTCCCTAAATTTCACTCAAATTTCAGCCCAATTTCCCCATGAATTTTCCCCAAATTTCACCCGAATTTTCTCCAAATTTCACCCCAATTTCCCCTTCAATTTCCCAAAATTTCCTGCAAATTTTCCCCAAATTTCACCCCAATTTCCCCTTCAATTTCCCCCAAATTTTCTCCAAATTTCACCCCAATTTCCCTGTGAATTTTCCCCAAATTTCACTCAAATTTCGCCCCAATTTCCCCTTCAATTTTCCCAAACTTCACCCCAATCTCCCCCAATTTTCCATCCCCAATTCCCACAATTTCCCCTTATTTTTTTCCCAGTTTTCACCCCAACTTCACCCAAGTTTCACCCCAATTTCCCCTTCAATTTCCCCTAAATTTCACTCAAATTTTCATCCCAATTTCACCTTCAATTTTCCCCAAATTTCACTCCAATTTCACCCCAATTTCACCCAAATTTCACTCTATTTTCACGCCAATTTTCCCCAAATTTCACCCCAATTTCCCCTTCAATTTTCCCCAAATTTCACCTCAATTTCACCCAAATTTCATCCCCTATTTCACCCCAATATCCCCTTCAATTTCACCCAAATTTTCCCAAATTTCCCCCAAATTCACCCAATTTCCCCCCAGTTTTTTACCCTGGGGTGTGGTGACGGTGCCCCAGCCGGACAGCAGGCAGGACTCTCAGGGCAGCGCCAGTGGCCGCACGCTCACCCAAATTTCACCCAAATTTCACCCAATTTCACCCAAATTCCACCCAAATTTCACCCAAATTCACCCAAATTTTTTACCCTGGGGCGTGGTGACGGTGCCCCAGCCGGACAGCAGGCAGGACTCGCCGGGCCGGCCGCACTCCCGGGGCAGGGCCAGCGGCCGCACGCTCCGGCCGATGGCCGCCGGCCGGTCCAGGCGCAGCAGGGCCAGGTCCGAGTCCAGGGTGACGGGGTCGAAGTTGGGGTGGGGCAGGGCCAGCGTCACCCGGCGCTCCTGCTCCGTCCCCTCGCGCCGCCGGAGGTCATCCTCGCCCAGCCGGACACGGAGACCCCTGCGGGGACAGCGGGGACACTGAGGGCGTGGGGACACAGGGGACACTGAGGGCATTGGGGACAGTGGGGACAATGAAGGCGTTGGGGACACTTTGGGGACAGCGGGGACAATGAGGGCGTTGGGACAGCGGGGACAGTGAGGGCGTTGGGGACACAGGGGACAGCGGGGACAGTGAGGGCGTTGGGGACACTTTAGGGACAATGAGGGTGTTGGGGACAGCGGGGACAATGAGGGTTGGGGACAGTGGGGACAATGGCGGGGTTGGGGACATTTGGGGATAGCAGGGACAGTGAGGGCATTGGGGACACTTTGGGGACAATGAGGGCGTTGGGGACAGCGGGGACAGCGGGGACAGTGAGGGCGTTGGGGACAGCGGGGACAATGGCGGGGTTGGGGACATTGGGGACAGCGGGGACAATGATGGGGTTGGGGCAGCGGGGACAGTGGGGACAATGACGGGGTTGGGGACACTTTGGGGACAGCGGGGATGACAATGATGGGGTTTGGGGACACTTTGGGGACAGCAGGGACAATGACGGTGTTGGGGACACTTCGGGGACAGCGGGGACAATGGCGGCGTTGGGGACAGCGGGGACAATGGCGGCTTTGGGGACATTGGGGACAGCAGGGACAGTGAGGGCGTTGGGGACACAGGGGACAGTGGGGACAATGACAGGGTTGGGGACATTGGGGACAGCAGGGACAGTGATGGGGTTAGGGACAGCGGGGACAATGAGGGCGTTGGGGACAGCGGGGACAATGGCGGGGTTGGGGACACGGGACAGTGACGGGGTTGGGGACAGTGGGGACAATGATGGGGTTGGGGACACTTTGGGGACAGTGGGACAATGAGGGCGTTGGGGACAGCGGGGACAATGAGGGGTTGGGGACAGCGGGGACAATGAGGGCATGGGGGACAGCAGGGACAGCGGGGACAATGGCGGGGTTGGAGACAGTGGGGACAATGACGGCGTTGGGGAGAGCGGGGACATTGGGGACAATGATGGGGTTGGGGACGTTGGGGGCTTTGGGGACATGGAGGGGGCTGGGGATGTTGGGGACCTTGGGGACATTGGGAGGTTTGGGGACATTGGGAGGTTTGGGGATGTTGGAGATGTTGAGAACATGGGAGGGGTTGGGGACACTGGGGACATTGGGAGGTTTGGGGACACTGGGGACATTGCAGGGGTTGGGGGCACTGGGAGAGTTGAGGGCATTATGGACATTGGGGACATTGGGGACACTGGGGGATGTTGGGAACATTGGGAATCCTGAGTGGGTTGGGGACATTGAGGGCCCTGTCCCCTGTCCCCAGGCTGTGTCCCCATGTCCCTGTCCCTGTCCCCATGTCCCCATGTCACCTCCGGACGCAGTGCGCCGCCGTCAGCACCAGAGGGGCCGCACCTGTCCCTATCCCTGTCATTGTCCCCATGTCCCTGTCCCTGTCCCCATGTCCCCATGTCACCTCCGGATGCAGTGCGCCGCCGTCAGCACCCAGAGGGGCCGCACCTGTCCCTGTCCCTGTCCCCGTGAGCTGTCCCCTGTCCCTGTCACTGTCCCAAGGGCTGTCCCCTGTCCCTGTCCCCAGGGATGTCCCCATGTTCCCATGTCCCCATGTCCCTGTCCCCATCACCTCCGGACGCAGTGCGCCGCCGTCAGCACCCAGAGGGGTGTCCCCTGTCCCCATCCCTGTCCCTGTCACTGTCCCCATGTCCCCATGTCCCCCGGGATGTCCCCATGTCACCTGCGGACGCAGTGCGCCGCCGTCAGCACCCAGAGGGGCCGCACCAGGACGCCCCCGCACTGCAGGGGGCCGTAGACCAGCGCCTGCCAGGGCTGGGACAGGGGCAGGCACGGGTACCCCCCGATGATCCGGTCCTCGTCCCCCTCGGGTGACACCGGCACGCAGGCGCCACCATCGCCCTCGGCGCGCTGGCCCTGGGGACACGGCGGAGGCTGGCACACGGTGGCACCTGCGGGGACAAAGGGACACACGGGCAGGGGGTGGGGCTTTGTGGGGTGGGGGCGGCAGGGGTGGGGCCTGGGTCACCAAGTGCCACCAGGGGTGGGGCCTGGGTCACCAAGTGCCACCAGGGGTGGGGCCTGGGTCACCTGGGCCACCAGGGGTGGGGCCTGGGTCACCAAGTGCCACCAGGAGTGGGGCCTGGGTCACCTGGGCCACCAGGGGTGGGGCCTGGGTCACCAAGTGCCACCAGGAGTGGGGCCTGGGTCAGCAAGTGCCACCAGGAGTGGGGCCTCCATGGGGACATGGGGACAAGTGTGTCACCTCCATGGGGACAGCGGGATGGCACCTCCATGGGGACAGTGCCAGCAGGTGTGGCGCCTGGGTCACCAAGTGCCACCTGGATTGTCCCCTGGGCCACCAGGTGTGGCACCTCCATGAGGACATGGGGACAAGCGTGTCACCTCCATGGGGACAGTGCCACCCCCGGATTATCCCCTGGGCCACCAGGTGTGGCACCTCCATGGGGACAAGTGTGTCACCTCTATGGGGACAATGCCACCAGGAGTGTCACCTGGGCCACCACGTGTGGCACCTCCATGGGGACATGGGGACAAGCGTGGCACCTCCATGGGGACAGCAGGGTGGCACCTCCATGGGGACAGTGCCAACAGGTGTGGGGCCTGGGTCACCAGGTGTGTCACCTCCATGGGGACATGGGGACAAGTGTGTCACCTCCACGGGGACAATGCCACCAGGAGTGTCCCCTCATGGGGACAGCAGGTGTGGCACTGTCACAGGGACAATGTCACCAGGAGTGTCACCTGGGCCACCAAGTGCCACCAGGAATGGCACCTGGGTCACCAGGTGTGGCACCTCCATGGGGACAATGCCACCCAGAGTGTCACCTGGGCCACCAAGTGCCACCAGGTGTGGCACCTCGTGAGGAGAACACATGGGGCACCTCCCTGGGCCACCAGAATTGTCACCTGGGCCACCAAGTGCCACCAGGAGTGTCACCTGAGTCACCACCAGGCGTGGCACCTTCACAAGGCCACCAAGAGTTGTCCCCTGGGCCACCAGGTGTGGCACCTTTATGGGGACACTGGGGACAAGTGTGGCACCTCCATGGGGACAGCAGGGTGGCACCTCCATGGGGACAGTGCCACCAGGTGTGGCACCTGGGTCACCAAGTGCCACCTGGATTGTCCCCTGGGCCACCAGGTGCGGCACCTCCGTGGGGACATGGGGACACCTGTGTCACCTGCCTTGGGCCACCAGGTGTGGCACCTCCATGAGGACATGGGGACAAGCGTGTCACCTCCATGGGGACAATGCCACCCCCAGATTATCCCCTGGGCCACCAGGTGTGGCACCTTCATAGGGACTTGGGGACAAGCGTGTCACCTCCATGGGGACAACGCCACCAGGAGTGTCACCTGGGCCAGCAGGTGTGGCACCTCTGTGGGGACACGTGTGTCACCTCACAAGGACAGCAGGTGTGGCACCTTCACAGGGACATGGGGACAGCAGGAGTGGCACCTCCGTGGGGACAGTGCCACCAGGAGTGTCACCTGGGCCACCAAATGCCACCAGGAGTGTCACCTGGGCCACCTGTTGTGGCACCTCCATGGGGACACCTGTGTCACCTGCCTTGGGCCACCAGGTGTGGCACCTCCATGGGGACACCTGGATTGTCCCCTGGGCCACCAGGTGTGGGGACAATGCCACCGGGAGTGTCCCCTGGGCCACCAGAGAGGTCCCCAGGTGTGTCCCCAGGTATCCCCAGGTATGTCCCCAGGTGTCCCCAGCTATCCCCAGGTATCCCCAGCTGTCCCCAGCTGTCCCCAGGTGTGTCCCCAGGTGTGTCCCCAGGTGTGTCCCCAGCTGTCCCCAGGTGTGTCCCCAGGTGTGTCCCCAGGTATCCCCAGCTGTCCCCAGGTGTCCCCAGCTGTCCCCAGGTGTGTCCCCAGGTGTGTCCCCAGCTGTCCCCAGGTGTCCCAGGTGTGTCCCCAGCTGTCCCCAGCTGTCCCCAGGTGTGTCCCCAGCTGTCCCCAGGTGTGTCCCCAGGTGTATCCCCAGCTGTCCCCAGCTGTCCCCAGGTGTGTCCCCAGCTGTCCCCAGGTGTCCCAGGTGTATCCCCAGCTGTCCCCAGGTGTGTCCCAGGTGTATCCCCAGCTGTCCCCAGCTGTCCCCAGCTGTCCCCAGGTGTGTCCCCAGGTGTCCCCAGGTGTCCCCAGGTACCTGAGAGCAGCAGCACCAGCAGCAGCAGCAGCGGCTCCACGGCCCTGAGGGGACACAGGAGGGGACAGGGGAGGGGACACAGGAGGGGACAGGGGAGGGGACACAGGTGACCCGGCTGCCCCTCCCCCACGGCCTGGCCCCTCCCTCCCTCCCTCCTCCCCCCTCCGTCTGTTCCCATTTCCCCCAATTTCTTCCCCGTTACTCCCTGGGTTTCTCCATTTCCCCCATTTCTCCCATTTCCCCATTTTTCCCCATTTCCATTTCCCCCATTTCCCCCATTTCCATTTCCCCCATTTCCCCATTTCCCCCATTTCCCCCATTTCCATTTCCCATTTCCCCATTTCCATTTCCCCATTTCCCCATTTTTCCCCATTTTCCCCATTTCCCCCATTTCCATTTCCCATTTCCCCATTTCCATTTCCCCCATTTCCATTTCCCATTTCCCCATTTCCCCCATTTCCATTTCCCATTTCCCATTTCCATTTCCCCCATTTCCCCATTTTCCCCATTTCCCCCATTTCCCCATTTCCATTTCCCCCATTTCCCCATTTTTCCCAATTTTCCCCATTTCCATTTCCCCCATTTCCCCATTTCCCCATTTCCCCCATTTCCATTTCCCCCATTTCCCTATTTTCCCCATTTTCCCCATTTCAATTTCCCCCATTTCCATTTCCCCCATTTCCTCCATTTTTCCCATTTCCCCCATTTCCATTTTCCCATTTCCATTTCCCCCATTTCCCCCAATTTCCCATTCCCCATTTTTCCCCATTTCCCATCAATTTTCCCACCTTTTCCTTCATTTTGCCCACTTCCCTCTTTTCTCCATTTCCCCCCATTTCCATTTCCCCATTCCCCTTTCCCCATTTCCATTTTCCCCCATTTCCCCCATTTCCCATTCCCCCATTTA